ATTCAGCGAGGATGATGTTGTTATGCGGAATCTGGTGTGCTTGGAGGAGGGGAAGACGGAAGCGCGGGGGGGAGAGGAGACACCCCTTGACCGAGTACGGAGGGCAGTATGGGGGATGCTGTATGCCGATGATGCCGGCGTCGTATCGAGGTCTGCAGAAGGATTGGCGAGAATGATGACCATCATCGTTGAGGTGTTCGGAGAGTTCGGGCTCACGGTGTCGGAGAAGAAGACGGAGACGCTCCTGATGCGCGCGAAGGACAAGCCGACTGCAACATTACAGTCCCCCCCGCCTCCTCCTCCACCACTGACTATCGAAGCCGCGGGACAGAAATACGCCCAGACGACCGAATTCCGGTACCTCGGTGGCCTCGTCAACGAACATGGCGACCTCACCCGGGAGATCAGCTACAGGAGCAGAGGAGCGTGGGCGTGCCTCAGGCGATATGGCCAGGAGCTCTTCGACAGACCGAAAGCGCCATTCCGACTCAAGATCCGCCTCCTCCAGGCGGAGGCGATGGAGGCACTGCTGTACGGCTGCATGACATGGTCACCACTCAGCGGCCACTATCAGACGCTGCGGTCGACACACCACCGACTGCTCCTTCGAGTTATCGGGTACAAGCGCAAGAAGGACACCTACCGGCAGCTCTCGTACGCCCAGACGCTGAAGAGGGTCGAATGCCAGAGCGTTGAAGCCACGATCCGACAACGACGCCTACTGTTCGCGGGAGCACTGGCAAGGCAGCCGGACGGGCGACTCCCGAAACGACTGATGCTCGGCGAGCTGGCGGGGGGGGAGAAGCCACGTAGGGGGGGACAGGAACAGAACTGGCCGAAGTGTGTGCTCGACGACCTGAAGGCCTTCGGGGCCGACCACGGATCTACGAAAACCGACCCAAGTTGTCTCGGAATTCCCGTACCGAAAGACACGGCACCGAAGTCAAGGTGGACGGAAGCCGCGAAGGTGGAGGGGGGAGTACCCTGGCATGCGGCGGTGCTGCAGGGAGCTGAGAGGTTCATGACCTCCTGGCACGAGAAGGAAGAAGAGGCCAGCCGACAACGAGCGCTCAAACGAAACCACAAGCCAACAACCAATGGGGCGGGAGGGGGGCAGGAGACGGACGAGACGGCGAGGGAAGAAAGCAAACGAGAAGAGACGGACCGAGTGGCACGACACGTGCCGGATTGAATTTCTTTTAGCCAATTCCCCCGCCCCAACGCTGCACCATTGCACCAACCCCCCAGTAGTGATTTCGTACCATTACAATGTATCGCTGGTTGGTGGCCATGTTTGCGTGTTTGCTTGTTCGTTAGTGGTCTCTCCACCGTGTGCCTTGTTCTGCCTCATACTTCTTGTTATTTTCGGCCTGGTCCCTCTTTGTCCTCGCCCTTTTTCATTTATTTTCAATTATTTTCATTTTATTTCTTTTTTCTCTTCTTACGGTTTCCATTTTTCTCTTTTTTTCTCTTTCTCTTTTTTTCTCTCTTTTTTCTCTCTTTTTCTGTGCCAGATGGCCTTGTCTCTGCTTGCGTTGTGAAGTACCAAGATTGAACCAAGGGGGTGCACCTCTTTCTCTCCGGCCCATGATAGATAGTGACTCCTAGTCTCAGTTGATACCTCGCATAGCGCGAAGAGGGAGTGGAGGATTCCAGAATATCTGTCGTTGATTTCTATTGACTTGCGGACCCTCGGGGCCAGTTTATTTGAGTGTACCTTTTTAGGGTAAGTTAACCTGTGACCACGGGAATCGACCGCGTCGAGTGTTGGATCAGTACGGACATACGAAGGTACTGGGTAGAGAGAGATCGGAACGGTTTTTAATGTGAAGACAACAACAACAACAACAACAGCAGTCGAACGGGATGTGGTGGAGTCTTTTCAGTGAGTGGAGGAAAACCGGCTGGGTACTGGACTGATTTCGAGTCTTTTTAAGTCTATACACTGATGACTTATACCCGTGATGCAATAATCGAATTCTGTGTGTGCGTACACGTGGATGACTGCAGCACGGTCGATGGTAGATTGCGGAGAGCATGGATGCGAGCAGCTGCCTTGGGCACGGGGATGTGGCTACTGATCAATGCTTGAAAACAATTGAACAGCGTGCGAGGTGCGGGCGAAAGCAATGAACGAATGCAACGCTGACGGGGTGCAGAGCCCGGATGCACCGGGTGGGTGCAGAGGGGCCCAAGACAGCGACAACGGCCACAGCGGTCGATTGTACTTAAGTGAGAACGGAGAACAACGAACGACAGGGCGGACCTAGAAAAAAAAACCGCGAAAAAAAAGGCAAAATGGGTGGGTGCACGCATGCGCATGCACCCATGCGCCCATACATTCCAAACGATGCAGGATATATTCGGGGACAACACGTGAGACTCACCAAGGATGGCGCTCGCCTCTTCTTCCGGACGATGGTCTTGCGACCCTTCTCCTTCGGCGTCGTGTAGGACTTGGACGGGGATTTGGTGGCCTTGGCGACCGTGCGCCCACGGGTTTGGTGATGATGGGCTTCATTCGCGTTTACCTCGGAATGGACACCCCTCGCCGCAGAACGACCTTGGACGCAGCGGGCGGAGGACATCGTGACGAATAGAGAAGATGGAGAGGCGGAGAGTGAGAAAACGGAGTCCAAAGGGAGGACGAGAGGGGGATGAGAAGAAATGAGCTCGGGCAAAAGCGTGCGCGCGCTTCTACATGAGAGCAGCAAGTTGTGAGGCCACTTCCTCGGACCAATAATCCCACACGAACACCACTCAAACTGTTCGCAGACACCATGTAAACGGCTATACTATCTGGCAGTTGTCACCTTAGCGCCAGATAACCGCCGGGTCGAGCGTCCTCCACAACGTTAGCCAGGGCGCGTGCTGCAGGCTGGCTATGACAGCGGGCTATCTCGTTCTTCATCACAGAAAAAAAAAATGTTTTTTTTTTTTCTCATATTTTTTTTTTGGGAAATAGACACAAGTGGGTACACCCACCCCTTTCTCGGACAAAAGTGGGTACTCGAAAATCCAGCGCGCGCGCACTCCGTAGGCGACCCCCAAACGACTCATAACCCCATTCTGACACCTGGGCGACACAGCCAGGGACCATACACAGCACGGGCATTGATTTTTTCCCACTATTAGGCACATCTTTGGCCCTAATACCGCCGATGCGCGCAAGGCCTCACCAGAGTGCCCACTTGTGTCCAACATCGCGGTGGGTATACCCACCGGCGTCAACTAATTTTTTCATGTACCCACTTGTGTCTGTATTTTGACCCACTTTTGTCCAAAATGTACCCACTTTTGTCCACTTACGGACGGCGAAAATCGAACAGAAATCGACCTCCGCATCACCGCACGGCAGAACATCGAATAGCCTCGGAACGTCTCAGAACCTCCCAAAACCGTATCCATGGCATCTTTCCTATCCATGGCTGCCGACTGCGGACAGACCACGAAAGGAAGAACATGTCAGAAACATGCCAGACCCCTTCGGAACCGGCACGGGAAGATACCAGGCACGGGGAGATACCCGCGGCAAGCCTACTGCTGCCGTGACGAGTCGGTGTGCACTCGTCGTGGTGGTTGGTGTTTTTGTGTGTGTGTTGTTGCTGTTTGCGCGTGTTGTTGCTGTTTGCGCGTCTTTTTGTTCTGTATGCGCGACCCGTTGGTTGTGTTGTCCGTTGTGTGTTACGCATTTGTTTGTGGCGTGCCGTTAGTGCGCTACTTGCCGGGCTTGCCGCGGGTATCTCCCCGTGCCGGTTCCGAAGGGGTCTGGCATGTTTCTGGCATGTTCTTCCGTGGTCGGTCCGCAGTCGGCAGTCATGGATAGGAAAGATGCCATGGATACGGTTTTGGGAGGTTCTGAGACGTTCCGAGGCTATTCGATGTTCTGCCGTGCGGTGACGTGGAGGTCGATTTCCGCTCGATTTTCGCCGTCCGTAAGTGGACAAAAGTGGGTACATTTTGGACAAAAGTGGGTCAAAATACAGACACAAGTGGGTACATGAAAAAATTAGTTGACGCCGGTGGGTATACCCACCGCGATGTTGGACACAAGTGGGCACTCTGGTGAGGCCTTGCGCGCATCGGCGGTATTAGGGCCAAAGATGTGCCTAAAAGTGGGGAAAAATCGATGCCCGTGCTGTGTATGGTCCCTGGCTGTGTCGCCCAGGTGTCAGAATGGGGTTATGAGTCGTTTGGGGGTCGCCTATGGAGTGCGCGCGCGCTGGATTTTCGAGTACCCACTTTTGTCCGAGAAAGGGGTGGGTATACCCACTTGTGTCTATTTCCCATACCAGATTGTACTCAACGAGCAATTGTTATCTTTTTCTTGTAGAAGTGGTAACGAACATCACGCCCGGATTTTGATTGAACTCACGACCCTCTGAGGACCAATAAATTTTTTCAAGCGTACCGTCAGACCCACCACTGGGAAGCTGTGTTGTAGGGCGGTGGGAGCTCGGCAGATCGTTTTACCGCCCGTCACACACGAAAGATATACCCGATCGAATCTTGGGTTCAGTCTACAGCAACAGCAGCAGTTGTGGACTAACTATAGCTAACCCTAATCTCAGATGCCGAGGAGATGGCAGCGTGTGTGCAAACTCAGGGACCGACAGAGTATGTACCCTGGAATTTATGCATTTCGACAGTTGCTCGCATGATGTTGTTCTCTTCTTCCTGACGTTTTGACCTCCTCGTCGCAGGCCGTGTTCTGCCAAAATTTCCGTGCACAGCAATGCACAGCAGCAGTGCCCCACACGGCTGCAACGCAGCTGAGCCTCAGCAATCAAAAAGAGACACACAGCCTGCAGGTTTTGTATTGTTGCACACACACACATCGATCGTAGAACACGCCCACCTGATGCAGATCCTCTCGCGAGGACTTTTCGCGGGGAGGCAGCACCCTCATAGCTCGAAAAACATCAGAGATTCTTGCCCCTGACAACACCCAGCCACAGCTCGCCGAGAGCAGAGCGAAGGCGACCGACGCGCGAAGCGCCATGATCGATGGCCTCATTACTGCGATGGACGGAGACAGGTGGCTGCTAGGGGACATGCTCCTCCTTCCGCAGAAGACGTCGTTCGTAGCGGTGTCCAGGACAGGTTGAACTGGGTGTAAATTTTCTAGAAGCGGCTGCTGACGATCCTGTGACGCGCCCCCCGTGTAGCTGCTGCTTTGAGCTGCCGGTCATGCGTCCAGTGCTGCCGCTGCACGTTCCACGCCCACGAATGCCTTGCACCCGAAGCACGAGGACGACGACGCGGGCACCTTGGATGTGGGGGTGCTGTCTGGATGCCTATGCCTGGAGACAACAAGGGGGACACGATAAGAGCGAGCGAGACGGCAGAGTCAGAAGAGCGAGAACCTCCTGTATCTCCTGTATCTCCGGTATCTCCGATATCTCCACCACAGTCTCGACCTCCGAACTCCAGTGAGTTTCCCCCGCAAGTTTGGAGAACACGATCGAATAATTTTTGGAATCATTTCGACGGTTCCTAATCGGTGTATAGTAGCATCATAACAGCCGTTACACTGCTGTGTACGCCCATGCGTATACAGCTTCGGGGCCGCGACTCTGCTTTGAAGTCTCACCTCCGGTTTGCAAATGTATTGTGTGGAAGATACATGCTAACAGACCTACAGTATGCCGGTCGCCCCGGTGGTCTAGTTGGTAGCCTCGTAACCTTCTAGATAGAGGTCAGGTCAGGGGTTCGAATCCCGGCGTAGGCGAGCTTTTCTTGCAAAGTGAGTTTTTCTCTCGCTTCCGCTCCTGGCCAAGTGGATAGCGCTAGTTCGTGTGTACACAGAGGGAAGAGAGTGCTGAACTCTTCTCGCATTAAAAATTGAAGGCGACGTGCCGCAGGAGGGGAGGGTAGAGAGAGGCTCTTCTGTGTGACCACGGGTTGGAATGAACGGCACTAGTGCTGTAAGCGCTGATTTGAAGTGAAGAACAAAAAAACAAAATCCATGGTTGATTGGAACACATCATACCAGTCACAGAATGTTTCGGATCTTTTCTTCATAGGTCAAATCTCCGATTTTCTCCGAATGGGTGCGGGCCACCTGGTGCACGCTCCTCAGAGATGGACAACAGCAGCAACACATGTATTTTATTCACACATACTGTGCGGTGTATGCATCTGCATCAGCACTCCTTCTCGGGGCTGGTCATGTATAGAACTATGTGTCTATGTACAGGAAAAGGTCCGATTCAACACAAGCTCAAAACGAAAAAACTGACAGGTAGAAACGTGCCGATCACTGAATTTTTCGGATCTTTCTTTTCGTCAAATCTCCGTTTGTCTCCTGAAGGGTGCGGGCCATCACTGGCGGGCAATCACTGCCCCAGCTGCACGCTCCCCGCACGGATGGATACGCCACAGCAACAACACTTATTCGTACATTACGGCGCGGTGTATGCATCTGAATCAGTACTCCTTCTCGGGCTGGTCATGTGCAGAACAATGTGTTGTCTATTCATGCAGGCGAAAGTCCGATTCAACACGAAAAAGAAAAATCAGTTCCAAAAGCAAAAATCTGCCGTGGCATGCAAATATTCGGCTGCCCGCACTCGCTCTCACGATGGTCCTCCTCCCATCTACTCCTTCTACACCCCCCTCTCATCACAAACCACAGCTCACACCGCCAGAGCAGCTTCCACCCTCTTTCTCTCCCTCGGTCGAAATACACCGTACGTCCACGCCTCGCCAAAGCCGCCAAGCCTCCAGCGCCGCTACCAACGCATCGTCCTCCACCGCCGGATCCTCTCGGCCGGCTGCTTCTCCGGCTGCTTCTACCCCGCCGCCCGCGAGCGGAGCCGGCTCATCTGTGAGTGCTGGCTCATCTGCTGCTGCCGCCGCCGCCGCCGTCGGCTCGCCCGAGCAAGTCCCGGCCGACCGCGAGCCGCAATACCTCTGCCCAAGCACCGGTTGCAACACCAACCTCTTCTTGAATGAAAATATCCACAAAGACAGGGCCGACTACTGTACCCGGCTGCAGGCACTTTAGCGCCGGTACCTGCGCGTGGACCGGCCCTTTGATCAAGTAACCCGGAAAGTTCTGCTGGCTCAGCGCCTCCGAGTTCGAGGTCGGCGAAGTGGTGTGGGCATACACCATCCCAGGTGAGAGCTTTCGCATATCTGCAGCACTACTGTAGTACAATGAATGATCTTCCTTCACGGCTTGGAGTTCGCGCGTTGATGCCCGTGGTCGTTTGTATGAACGCGATTCATATTTTTGGCCGACGCTATCATGTGCATACAAAAAGTTGTTACACCACACAGCATTCAGCGCTCTTCATCATATTTCGGCGCTCTTCGTGATGAGGTATGAATCATGCCCACGTTGTATGAACCAACACGATTTCTGTCACAGGAAAATCACACAACAACCAAGCAACCATGCAACATTTGTTGTGCTATATGTAAGGCTTTCGCACCAACTTTCTTTGCCCCTCCCTGCGCTGTTGAATGACTCAGAAAATGAACAGATCTACTTCAACAAAAAACGCTGCTCATACATGTATGCATGTGTTCATCGCCTTCCCTTTTTGTGATCAAACAGACGTGGAACGCCCGGCGTGTTACATAAACTGGTGCCTCAACGAGGACGCCTGCATCATCCTCAAGGAGGAGGGCGTCCCGGTCAACGTTAGGCTTGCCGGCGAGGACGACGTGAGTCCTTTTATTTTCTGTTTCAAGAAACTATCTACCTATTAATAATGTGTTTCCAGTCCCTACCCCCTTCTGTCTGCCTGACCAACACAACACGACACCAATCATTATTGATGTTCCTGCCCGTTAGTATGCGCACTGCCATCTTAGGCATGTGTTCCACTGTCCTTTCCTGCCCAACACATCACCAGATATCCTGCCCGAATATATCCGCACGCACATGCTCGGTGCAACGTGTGTTGCCGCAAGACAGTTTTTTATATCCTACATGTCCACACCTTTTTTTTTGGTGTTCGACACCACCATTATTTTCAGCGTGACTATGCGCACATACGTGTTCCACACGTACTGTGCGGTGTATGCATCTGCATCAGCACTCCTTCTCGGGGCTGGTCATGTATAGAATTATGTGTCTATGCATGTACAGGAAAAAGTCCGATTCAACACAAGCTCGAAACGAAAAACCTGACCTACAGGTTGCAAAGCGCTGCAGTGACTGCAAACATGCCGACCCGTAATAATAATGGATGTACGGTGTATTTCGACCGAGGGAGAGAAAGAGGGTGGAAGCTGCTCTGGCGGTGTGAGCTGTGGTTTGTGATGAGAGGGGGGTGTAGAAGGAGTAGATGGGAGGAGATCCATCGTGAGAGCGAGTGAGTGCGGGCAGCCGAATATTTGCATGCCACGGCAGATTTTTGCTTTTGGAACTGATTTTTCTTTTTCGTGTTGAATCGGACTTTCGCCTGTACATGAATAATAGACAACACATTTTTCTGCACATGACCAGCCCGAGAAGGAGTACCGATGCAGATGCATACACCGCGCCGTAATGTACGAATAAGTGTCCTTCCACCTCCTCCGTCCCATGACACATGCGATGTTTTGTACGGGGGCGAGCACTGCCGAACTTTACAATTTAATCCACGACTTCACTACTTCCTTTCCAACTTGCGTCACCCCCGGGGGGCCTGACACCAAATGGAACTCTTCAGCACCGGTCAACTCTGCCAACCCGAGGTCATCATGATACTTCATCGTGGAGCCTTCGCCAAACCGTTCCTCCCCCGCGGCTGCTCCGCAACCCCGTCTCCTTGAAGTCCTGCGTATAAATACTTCGTTTGCCCTCCGACAACCGTTGCAGATATATCCAGACATAGACATACATGCCATGAATCTTCAACCACCCCGATGATTCGATGGCCTAGTGCAAACAAGGTTTGCCTGCAAATCCTGCAGTCTTTGCTCGAAAGACTGCAGTTCAGACATTATGCATCCGAAACACACAAAAAAAAAAACTAGTCCAAAGCCACCCCAACCGCTACAAACCCACTCCAAAACCCCATTCCTACTTCCCTTCAACCCTGCTACTGCTAGGGCCAGGCATGTCCCCCTCGACACTCCCGAACTTCGTTACAGTACTCCCCTTTTACCTGCATCTACTGATGCACTGATGCACTAGTACGGCTTATGCGCGTCTGACTTCCACTTTCCTTTCCCACGCACGGTGGACGCCCCCCCGATTCATAGCGAACGCAGAGCAAAGGTCACTGGGTTACGCCTCTTTTCCCTTGACGCACCTCTACTTCGCGCTGATGGCCAGTGTTGTGCCCGAGATTCCCAGATTGTGTCGATACTCCTACGAGAGACCATACGAAGACTTCCCGCTACTCTCCAGAATACCAACGGGGATGGGGAGCGAGTTTCAAGAAGACACCCCAAACATCCAATCATCCTTAGCGACGTTGATTCAACTGTAACCAACGGGTATATCGCAAACACGGAAGAGAGAGCGACTCGACCGCCCGGGGGGAAATGCTTGGCTGCGATGTGTACAGCAGTCACACAAAGGTGTAGAGAAGCTAGGCAAGAGCTACACTCTCCACCATCTCGCCTCATGTTCGAGCGCCTGTCGCCGTAGAGCACACACATGGGCTATGCTATATCCTCATGCCAGAAACCTCAACATCGTTAGCACAACACCAAGTGTGCGTTGTCCCGTTCTACCCGCATTAGTTTCGCTTCTGGGATCAACACGAATTGCCCAGCCCATCCCTGCACCTCTGAATCATCTTCAGGAATCAACCGAGTTGGCTGTTCTTGTTTCCGATAGAGGTACAGACTTATCAGGTGCCATGGTTACGGTTGTAGTGTTGTTTGCACCAACGAGTAGAGTCGTCCTTGGCCTTGTTGCAGCACGGCGCACCACTTGCAACGTATTTCGCTCGGCAGCGGTGAAAATTGCAGTAACGCGGGGAGTCGGCATGGATCTCCCTGGTGCACCCCTTGACATGGCAGGTGTTCTCTGTGTCGGGAAGAGATCGGCAAATGCCATTTTATGGTGCAAGCAAGGGAAGGAGGTACTTCAGCCATTTTTTTTATCCAAGCCGAACGCTTGGCCTCCAACTGACGACCAGTGACGACCAGGCGGTGCGAATACACAACTGGCACACGACTCGCGCCGAATAGCGCCGACCACTAGTAGTGGACTTGAACGTTCATCCCCCTTCAAAAGTGTGACCTCTGTCTGGGCTTTGAGTCCGATGTCTTCGTTGGGGTAGGTCATGTTGACGGAAGCGGGGGCTTTCTCATTGGTCTGGCCTGAGACACCAAGCCCACGAGCAGGCAGCCTCATCATCGATAGGAACATACAATCTTGTAGCTCCGCGCGGTAGATAAAATCGGAACGAGAACGTGAGAGCGGTAAAACCCTCAGAGAGTTCCTATGGATCACTTTGTTCCGGGGCAACTGGTTAGGTCCCGACCGCGTCCATTGTACCTCCAACGGTGTAGGATTGTAGGTACGGGGTGCGTTGCTAGGAATCTCCTTGGACCCTTGTGCAGAGGGGGTCAAATCTCCGTCGCAAGATCTGCAGCCGATCGCAAAACGTAGGTTCGCATACTCCGAGTAAAGTGCAAACAATGTTGATGTTGTGGAATCAGCGCCCCGACGTGTCAGCTCGGACCTCCAGAACAAAGACAAGCACCGTTTACAGAGCGGGTGTTTCGTGTGGTCAAATGGTATACAAGCCTCCCACCCATGCTTCATACCGCCATTTGGGATGAGCGGCCACGCTGGGATGGGCCGCGACCTTGAGCTTGACTCAACCACTTGTTTCTCAACAATGGTGTGCAGCGTCCCATCTCGCTCCTTTATCTTCATGATACTTTTTGTGGCCCACGACCCATCTGGCCTCAATATCGTCTCCTCCTTAGTTGAGATTACCCGCCCCCCTCCAATGCAGATGGTATTCAGCGTAGAATCCATCACCTGCA